CAACGTGTCTGAAATGGGTCAAAGAGGAGAAACAGGTGATCTTACAACGTCCTTGGAGTTTCAGTGTGACATGGCTGCCAGGTCTGAGTCCGTCGTTGTCTGATCAGAAGGAATGACAGTTTCATTTTAAGTTCTCTATAAGTTTGTTTATCCTTCGCCACCCAAAGTCGGGGATTTCTGCTTCCAGGAAAATTCCATTTAAGTGGTTGTAGATTGAAGGATTTACTGCTCCAATGAGTGGAGTTCAGAATCGTATCTCCGCTGATCTTGGAGTCACTTTCATCTTTAACGCAGCCATTGTTCTGACTTCTCCGCAGCTCCTTTAGAACTCACGGTGTATTTACTGGTTCTTTACAACAAAGACTTGGTTACCATTCATGTTTGGGGGAGAGAGAGAGAAAATACTCAAATCTTTCACAAACTCCCCCTTAAAAATATTGACATTTTGTTTCACTGAATTGTGGTGTAAAGCAGCGACAACGCGGTTCTGGAACTTTCTATGCTGTGTGTATCATGTACTACATGTAAAGTGTTAGTATTAGCATCATGAAGAAACTTAATAATTTATAATAAAATAAATAGTAGCACGACAGCGCCACCTTAGTGCTACTTCTCCCAAACCATAACAAATGTAACGTCGTAGTTACATATGTTACAAATGGCTAGCTAGTATTTCCAAGCTAACGATACATTAGCTCAGTGTGAGCGAGCACTTCCTCTCCTGTTCTACAACACAAAGACGAAAATTTAGCGGCTAAAAAATGGTCTTCAAAACCAACAAGACATGCACTGATTTTTTTAATTTTTTTTTTAAATCAATGCTGAAAGAACTGAAATTAACTATGGCACATGAAGGGGTCGCCGGCCGTGTAATGAAGCCCGGTAACTGTTTAGTGTTTGCTCCACTTCATTATCCTGGAGACCGACGTCGTGTCTTGTGTTATTGTTTTTTCGCCTCGTCTCAATTGTGTCTCAATTTGTCGCCATTCCATTTGGCAGCGTTCTTACCTGTGCAAACACACCGAGGTGCTTTTCATTTGCATCAAGCCAGTTCGTCAAATTAGCTTCAACACAAACACGAGTCCCAGTCCCGTCAAGGTTAGCTGGGTTGTCTGTCAGAATTTATTCATGAGCTCGTGGCTCTAAAGGGAATTATTAATTAAGGAGGAGAAGAAGAAAAAAACAGCTCTGCTTTTCCCCAAGATATTGTCCAGCGGTTGTTGGGCCTAATTAATACCATGCATATCATTAGCAGAGTGAAGATTTAAATGCCAGTGTGTGTTAATTACTGTTGTGGAAGTCGTCTCCTTGTCTTCCATAAATGTTATCAGTCTGTCGGCGTTGTTCTCATGCGTGCAGGAGCATCAGCAAATGTCATGTTGTGTATCCGGGTAAAATCTTTTAAAAAAAAAGAAAGAAAGAAAAAGAAGCCAGAGACAGATTAATTTGAAGGACAGTCTAATGAAAATCACTTCGTTGGATGACATTCCGTATCGGAAGGCGAGATCGGACCACACGTTTTGTTGAGACTTTCTAATTTTACACTGTTTTTTTTTTTCTTAACTGTCCAGTAAAAACTGTCCTTCGTTCTCCTACAGGACGTTTGGCGGCATCTACTCTGTGTATGCGTGTGTGTGTGTGTTTGAGTGTGTGTCTAAAGGGGATTTCCTGATATAATCTCCAGCTCTTTCATTTGTAATAAACCTCATTTATTGTGCCTCAAATCCCTGGACTTACTGCTGTTATTGAGACGACGACGTGGGAGGGAAAAGATCACTTTACCAACCCACGTCCCGGCGTCTTCCTCTGGACGATTTTTTTAAACACAGCTGCGATTCTTTAGTTTCATATACACATCATTTAGCTTATAAAAGTTATACACATATATGTATATGTGTATATACATATTTATAGACAAAAATGTCACATGGTTTCTCACATCTTGGCTTTTCTTTCATGTTCTTCATAGTTATTCTTCACCAATTGTATATATATGTATATACATATATATAGACAAAAATGTCACGTTTTGTCACTGCTTTTCTTTCCTGTTCATCATAGTTATTCTTCGCCAACAAGAGGTTTGACCTTGAGAAAAAAAATTAATATTCAAAATAAATTCAAATATGATCTGATGTTAATTTTTAAGCATCTCTATAATTAATCCTCAACTTGCAGACATAATTAATTGATTTACATGCCCCCCGCACACAGTGGTCTCAAGCAGTGCCTCCCTGCTGGTGAGTTAATTGTCAGGTTAGAAGGTTTGCCTCCAGAGGGTTTGTGCCGTGAATTATAATGATTCAAACTTCTTTTTTTTTTCTCCCCCGCATTATAATGATTCAAACTTCTTTTTTTTCCCCTGTCACTGTCAGTGACACTGCCTGTTAGCTGCCTAACGAATTAGACAACTTTATAAAGAAGTTATGCAGAGAACTATTCTCTCTAAGACCAGAGGTTTGTTGGTAATCTGTCAAACTTTAGGTAAGAGGGATGTTGACGGCACAATGTCACGTGTAGCTAGGGATTTGGAAGATTTTACGATTATTTGGTAGGTGTGACTTGTCAATGTATATTGATTTTTGTAAATTCCAATTTCCTTTAATTGACAGGATATGAGTCAAATGAAATAAAACATTTGAAAAGAAATAAAACCTTGTAAAAAAAAATAGGTCTGCATACATTCAAAGCTAGGACTTTAAACTAATTTATTATTATATCACTAGCGGTAATGCTGAAAATATAAATTAATGAGGGTGAGAGTGAAATTGTCCAAGTTTAATCTTACAAATAAATTAAACTTGGACAATTTCACTCTCACTCTCATTAATTTATATTTTTTATAGTTCCTTCCTGCTGGCTACAGTGTGGATTTTCATCTTGCTCTATTTTTTTGCTACGATGTGACGTGTGCCGATAAAACAAGGTTCACAGTCGCCGTCTCTGGACATGATCTCCTGTCCTCAATCAGGTGAATATGATTGTTCTCCTCAGGCTAAAGCCACCGTGTCCGACTCAATATATTTTCCTTTGTTCAAGTGTGTCTCCGGAGAGACCACAGACGGGACACCTGATGGCCATAGGATGTAGTGTGGGCCAGCTTTTTACCCTAGTCTCTCCTCTGCCTCGCACATTTACGTCGCTATGTTCGCTTCAAAGTCGTAATAGACTCTTAAAAGTGAATGTGTGTGTGTGTTGGTGTAATGTACGATAACAATGTCTTAGCAATAGCTAGCAGCCACAGTGTCTCACTACAGTAAGTTCTTCTATCATTATTATATCAAAAGATATATCAAGTATTCCGGAAGTTCCGGAAGTCTCCCGTGTCTTAAAAAGTAACATAAAACATCCCGGTATCGAGAGCGAGCCGTAAAGCGCGCGCACGAGAGCTAAAGCGCGTCTACCTGTGATGACAGCGCGATGACACCCGATGTGGGGTACATAGAAAGAAAGCGGGGCCTCTGTGTGCGTGCCTGTTCATAGAGCGCGCACAAGATATAGAGCATTCCGATTGGACGGTTTTGATAAATTGACCAATCAGTTTTTAGTGTGGGCGGGTTTTTAATCACTACTCTTCCGGGCCGCATAACTGCTCATTTATCCAACGTTTGTGACCGGAAGTGTCACGGCAGAGGTAAAAAGATACATATTTAAAGTTTTGTGTGATGTAGCGTTAGCGTTCTGGTTTTATACTATTGTAAACACAATGTGTTTGCTTTGTTTAAACTACTTTTTAGCTGGTTTTGAATAAAGGCAAATGGTTTACATAAGTCGGATACTTTTACTAGTTTTCCTGGAAAAGGGGAA